TGATGTGATCCACTCTTTTAATGTTAGTGAGGACACGAGCAGCAGCGTTCTGAATCAGCTGCAGCTTTCAGATGGATTTTTTTGTCAGCCCTGTGAATACACTATTGCAGTAGTCAAGTCTACTGAAGATAAAAGCATGGACAAGCTTTTCTAAATCCTGTTGTGACATTAGTTTTTTAATCCTAGATAATGTTCCTCAGGTGATAGTATGCAGACTTAATAACTGTTGTAATGTGACTGTTGAAATTCAGGTCCGATTCCATCGCTACACCTGTGTCAGGGACTTTTTATTACTTACGCCAAGGAGGTTACGCTTGCTGTGTTTTGTCGGGATCATGGTAAAACGTCTTGCAAAATTATCGTGAAACTTGTTTGGAGGGTGTTGCATAAGTTAAGGAAAAACACACTACGTTTTAGAGCCAATCCTCAGTACATGGTGTATATATATATAAGCGCTTCGAGATTTTTCTTGGCAGATGAGAAGCGCTATATAAATTAAATGTATTATTATTTATTATATGCAATATTTCTTTCTTATGGAAACAGCCTTGGCTCAGGTCTGCGCTCTATGAGTTTCCTTCTTGCAATTCAGTTTGATGGAGAATTCTATTTAATGAGAACTGAGGTGCTTTCTTGTTGGTCTTTATTAAAACATGAGCCCCCCCCCTCCTTGGCACTAAGCATGGACTGGCAGCTGTTGCACAAGAAGCTCATATGACCACCGGCTGTGTGTGTTTGTGAGATCATATGAGCATAATCACCTCTCCATCTTGATTAATAAATAATGATCAGAGACAGTGCAGCCATGAACTGAGGTGGCAGCTCTGGCTGTGCTGGCTAAGTCGACCCGTGTGGCAATTTTAAGTCCAAAGCCTTTCGAAGCCAACCCCCCCCTCCCACCTTCAACACTGGTTACCGATTAATGCCATTTCACTGACCTCCCATCTGTCTGCTTGCTTTTTAGTTTCTTAATCCTGTCATTTTCATACTGTGAAGCTTAGGTTTGCCTGGCAAAGGGGCTGCATACACACACACACACACACACACACACACACACACACACACACACACACACACACACACACACACACACACACACACACACACACACACACAGAGACAGACACACAGCCTGCTGGTGCGAAGGAGCTAAAGCTTAATTGCTGTCAGTGGCAGTACAGATGGCTGCATTAACTGAAGTTAAAACAACCCTTATATAAAATCTCTTATGTAACTTCCAAGGACAGCCCCACACTGCCACTGCTTTAATGACTCTAACTGTCTAAATATATCCAAGAACGACAGCAAACCAATCACTCTCTCATTTGTGGAAATCTTAGACCTGCACCTACATGTCTTTGGTTGAAAAAGTGAATTCCGTGGTGATTCATTACACTCCTGCTATTCTGAGACAAACTCCTGCTCTCCTGTAGAAAGTCACAAGAGACAAATGTGACTTTTGTGGTTTGAGAATAGCTCAAAGTTTCTTACAGGTAACTGCAGGTCAGCACAAGTAAAAGTTCATCAGCCTGATGTAGTTAAAATACCCTTCTTTTGTTTGCAGACATTCCCTGCATCCATTGTTGTCTTTTATTTAGCACCTTTTGCACTGCCCTTACCAACAATGCATGGTATCCTTTTTCTCAGTACAAACTGAATCACTTTGTTAATTTCCAAAAATGAAGCCTCCCAGGAACCCAATTTACAAAAAACAATGACACAGGCAGCTACATCAATTTCACTGTGAATCTTTCTGATTATTAATGATTCATCATTTGAAATTATATACCAGGTAAAAGCTTAAAATCAGTACTTTCCTTTGCTTTTCGAAGCGTGGTATCGGGAGCGGTTGTGGGGGGGGGGTGTGGCTGTCAATGGTGAAGTTGAAATTCTGGATGGCTCTGGTACGGGATGGGGGGCCGATGATGATGTCTGATTTGGCACTGTTCAGTTGGAGATAGTTTGTTTGCATCCATGCTTTTATTTCTGAGAGACAGTTGGTGAGAGTGGAGTGTGTTGTGGGGGTGATGGTTTTTGTTGAGATATAAAGTTGGATGTCATGGTGTAGCAGTGAAATGGTTGTGGCGACGAATGATTTTGCCAAGGGGGAGCATGTAGAGGATGAAGAGGAGGGGGCCAAGCACCGAACCCTGGGGGACGCCTTGGGACAGAGGAGAAGTGGAGGAGGTGCAGTTGTTGATGTTGATAAACTGATGTCTGTCGGTGAGGTAGGATTTCAGCCAGGAGAGTGCAGTGTCGGTGATGTTGAGTGATGATTCGAGGAGGGACAGCAGGATGGTGTGGTTGATGGTGTCGAATGCTGCGGTGAGGATGAGGATGTTCATGTTGCCTGAGTCAGAGGAGAGGAGGAGGAGGTTGTTTGTGACATCACAATCACATAACAGAAATGAGGGGCAATATCCATGATCACAACATGTAAAACACGCCATATTCAACACAGACTAGTGTGTGCAGGTGTAGTTCTCAGTGAACCATTGTATGTGGTCTTCTTTTAAATGTGTTCTTCATTATCTCATAGCTAACCTATGTTTGTTCTCCGTGTCCTCTGCAGGACAGCGTGGGCGAGGTGTCGCAGTTCAGACCATCATGCCCTTTGCTCTAGCAGCAGCACCGGAAGTGTGTGTGTGAGCGACCCTGGCTGGCTCTGCTGGGATGAACATGCCACTGCACCAAATCTCTGTCATCCCCCGTGATGTCACCTCATCGCGGGTGTCCGGCAGTGGGAAGGCTAAGGACAAGGACAAGCAGGTCTGTGAAGAGTTCAATAGGCCATGCATCTGAGGATGGTGGAAGCTATAAAGTGTTTTCATCCTACAGAGATATTCTGCAATAGCAAGGGCGGGTTCTGGCCCTAAGTCTGAAAAATGACTTGCAGATCAATCTTATGTCAGACAATTTTGATATATTTTCTACATATGCCTCACCAAGTCTAGTAGAGAAGAAAGATTTGATTTGTCTAATGAAGTAAAAGGAGAGCCTGGGTAGTTTCAGAAAGTGGCCAAACAAGTGTCTGAGTGTTGTTCATCTGGAGCAAAAGAGGAAGTAGGGTAACATTGTTATTAAGAGATAAAGTCTGCAGAAGGAGGAGTTGGGGGAGAAAGCTCAACAAAACATAGAACCACACACAGAAGACCGCTGTTTGTTTTCTCTTTCCTATTGACGGGGCGCTTTGTTTCTTTCACCATGAGGAGTGGTAAATATTGATCACACTGTTATTGTTGAACTACAAAGGTTTGATATTGAAATCATTTTGACCCAAACCATTATCCTATCCTGTTTGTTCTTTAACTAACTAAACCTCAACCATTACGTTGTCACATCAAAAAGCTGACTTTTTTTGGCAGCCATTTGTTGCTGATATTCACTCAAACTCTCATAGTTTCCTCGGATGATGAACTGCTTATTAACACTCAGTCTATTCCCCCCAGTGTTTTTCTGGAGGGAATAGACTGAGGATGCATTTTGTTGTTTAATTTATTTTGAGGACTTGTTGAAAAGTTCTCCATTATCTGTAAGTGTGCATGGCTGCCAGGAATAATGAAAATACACTATTCATGAGTGTGTGAATATATTTAATAAAGTCATCCCTCTGGAAAAAAATGATTGGCTACCATTTTAAAAAACAAATGAAAACGAATTCCCTCAGTCTTTACTCCAGCAAACAAAACCTAAATGTGGTCTTGTGTCAGTTTTTGTGTTATCATTGTTTTCATGTGGCAGAGTTAATGTTGTCATATCAGCGCCACATTAAGTTATGCTCTACTTACTGTCACTCACACACCCACCGGAAAAACATTTCTGCCAAATGCCTTTAAAAACATTATTATCATGTCTGTTCCTTTTTATTCATTGCCTTCAAACTTGGTTTGACAGTGTAAAATGGCTATTTTCTTTATCCATGTCCTAGAATACTAAGACATGATGAATGCAGAAATGTTAAGACAAATGTCAACTAGATGTAGACTAAAGCTAATTTAATTCGAAATGACAAGCGTTAAAGGGGAGGGGAAAGTTACACCAGCTGTCCTCCAGTCATTCACCACAGAACAATCAGGAAGTTCATTTTCTCATGCCAGCGGTGTCAATCCTAACACCGCAATATAAATTCTGCTTTACAACGTTTCTCTCACAAATAAATTATTTCTGTGCTGCCTGTGGGTTTAGCAGGGGTTTTGCATCTAATGAGGATCGTCAGAGTTTGTTATGCTTTTCTATTGTCAAAGCCGCCTGAAGGGCATCTGGCTTAGCAGTTTATTAGTGGACCAAATATAGGATTTGGTACCTTGTTCGTGGGGTTTTTTAAATCGTTTCTACCTCAGATTTACAAAAGGAAAGCGTAAAATCACCACATGAGAGAACTTTTATTCATCGTATTGGCTGCTTTGAAAGGTATTCTATTTTTGTTACTCAGGAAAGCTCCCACATGATATTTGTTTGAAATATGGGCCTGATGTAATCTTTCAGGCATGTGCCTTGGAGAGGATTTAAGCTAAATCTAAAGCGTTCATCTGCACCTATCACAGATTTCTAAATTGAGGACTTTTGACCTTGAATTCTGGATTTTCTCTGAGTCCAAATACGACTCTCTTTCTCTGAAACCCCCTCGCATCGGGATGTCATTATGAGTTGCCAGTAATACCAAAGAAAGTCAGGTGTACAATCAAATGCAGCTCATCAATCTTTACTTTCTTTCCCTGGCTCTTCCTTTGTACTACAGGAGCATCAAACGGCACAGTAAAGTGCTCTCGGAGTGCAGTTGCTTTTTTTGAGCTGTGGAACAAAGCGAGGTGCTAAGACAATATGTCCGCCCTTTCTACTTGGCCTCATCGGTGCACAATAGATCCGGGGCGCTGAGTGCAGCAGCACAGGTGTTCTTAAGAGGTTTCTTCATGCTGCATATGGAGCTGTTTCCACCTGCTGTGCTGTAGAAGTCATAGTACACACTTTAAACCTCCCAGGACATTATGTGTTTTTACTTTACACACACACACACACACACACACACACACACACACACACACACACACACACACGCACGCACACGCACACACCACTCTGAAGTCTCAATTGTTGCCTAATCTCAAGCTGAAACCATGCCTTGTCATTGCAGAAGTGAAAGTAAACCCAGGCTCCCTTGTTTCATTTGCTGCAATAGGTTTCATTTCATGCAAATCCCTGTGTTAAATATGAGCTGAAAAAGCTTTTGGTATAATGCATGGTTAACAGGATTAAAGAGGTTTAAACTGTGAGAGCAGTCGTAGCAAGGTTACCTTCTGCTGGGAAATAAGAGAGAAACTGTAAGCTGTATAATGTCGGGGGGCTTTTTAGTCTCCGTGCCGCCATGTTTGCTAACTGTGTAAAGATCCAAGCCTGCATCTCTGTGCTCAGCTACGCTCTCCCCCGTCTGTCTCCTGCTGGCGTAGCCTCCTTTTTCTCCCCCAGAGGAATAAGTGGATAAACAGCAGCGAGTCCCGTCCTCCCTGTGGAACCATCGGCAGAGTCGATAAAGGAGAAACCGAGTTTAGGAGAAGAGAGTGTTTTTCTTTGAATACTGATTAGCTCGAGAGTCCTGGAGGTGTGTGAGTGCGTGCCCAGATTTGAGTCACAGAGCACCAGTCCATCTGGCCCTCTGAGACAACACAACTGGTCTTTTAGCGCCGCAAGAAAAAAAGCAGAACTTTCCTCTACTTAGAATTCAGAGTTAGTCATCTGCTGCTGTAGAGAGCAACACATCTTTAACTGTTGCTGGCCCTCGCTGGCCTCCCTCCTCCAGATCCACTCAAGTCCATTTGTCTTCCCTGAAATCCTCTTTAGGTGTGCTTGTGGGTACTTTCTGTGCTCACTGTGGGTCCTCCATTTTGGTAAATAGACTAAGAAATATTTTTTAAAACTTTTTCAAAAGACTGGGAGAGTGTTTTTATTTTGGAGAAAATGTAAGTTTCCTGACAGTTCTCAGCCATGGCAAATAACACGGTCAGATTGATTTGAGTCTGGGGTTTCTGATAAGACGAGCAGTGAATGGATTAGGCATGACTTGACAATGAACTAATCTCTGTCACAGGTTGACAGGTTGGGAAGGACGAAATGCTGTGATATATCTTGGAAATTCATACTGAGCTGCTATCGTTTTGTTTACTTTTGAAATAAAGTCATTTACACAAGCAGCGTGTGAGTTCTGTACATGCAGCAGAGCTGAGAAATACAGCCGAGCCTCAGTGGATGCAGCTGTACCTTTTTAACTTTCCACGTTAACACATGGATTCACACCAACATGCATGACCTAGCTCGCACTGGTATTATAATTAGCAGTATATTTCTGAACACTGTCATACTTGTTCCCTGCCCTTTTGATGTCACAAGTACTTTTCATGAGAGAACAGAGAGCGCTTGAAGCTTTGTCCTTCAATAAGCTTGTGTCAGAGTCCAAGGACAGCGAAGACTCCCCGTCTGTCCTCTGATGTTTGGCGGTTTAATAACAGTGTCCGCCGCAGAGCTCCGGGGCACTGATCCTGGTCTCCACAAAGCCCAACTCCATCAAACATTGACCACCACAGCAAAGACTTTCAACACAAGCCCCAGGCTAGACAGGGACTGTTTAATGTGTCTGTCTTTGCTGATTTAACTAAGCTTTAGTGACATAACTTGTTCACTTGAAACTGTGACACTTCTCTTTGGCTGCAGTAGAAGCATTTTGGCTGATATATAGGATAGCAGTGTATCCTGTTTACAGCCAGCATGTAAATTGCTTTGGATTAAAGCCTCAGATAAATGAAATGGAATGTGTAATCTTTAAAAAACATTATTCAAAAACATATTTTTAAACGTTATAAGATTATTTGAAAAATATGTTTTTCAGGCACTGAAACCTTTTCCAAACATTTTGTTGATCTAAACTGTCCAAATGCCCCTCCAGACACTGTGCCCAGGGGCAGCAAATGGAAATGCCATGATAATTACCCAGAAAGACTTTGGGCGTGGTAAACTAGGCATTCACATAAGGAATAAACTGCATGTGGTGTGGTCACTCGTTATCGGAGGCAGAGGATGCAATTTTGCAGAAGACTCAAACACAAAATACTCAGTTATTGATATTGGTGTTTACAAACAAAATACACAAATTCTCCAGTGTCTATCCAATTAATATTCAGGTTAAACACATTCAATATGTGCACACAATCCGTGCAAATATTGTGTGCACATATTTTTCACACGAAAACACAACATGTTCCTCCTGGTGTTGATGTTCTGAGGCCAAACAGGTTCCCCCAGCATGTCTACAAAGCAGAAGCTGGTGAGGGAAGATAAGACTTGGCAGAATGGGATTCTCTCTATTCTGGTAGTCACTTTCATAAAGGTATGAACGTTGTGTCAGCAAAATAACCTACTTTCCATACTTTATACTCTTCAAACATCCAGTCATAAGCTGCTGATATACATTTAATGCAAGTCATAACTGAGTTAAAAGTGCAGAAAGTTAGAGAAATCGTTTTTTCTGTGTACTGGTAGTAGGGCAGTATGGCTGTAAATAACTTGATTTGATGTATTTCATTATAATTGAAGATTTTGTTTTGATTCAAAGTCAAATCTGCACATTGATTATTTTGTTAGAGAGAGTCCTAAAGTGATAACAGAAAGAAGCAGCCTATTTGAGAAACTCAAAGCACTCAATGTTTGACAATTTTTCTTAAAAATAGCTTAAATTAAATAATTTAATTTCAGTGTGTCAATACCCATGGTGTATTTTCTGT